ACAGCCGCAAAACCAAACAGGCTTTAACATTTGACCTTATTGGGGAAAACAAGCCTACTATTACCAAAGAAAACTAAGTGTGCCTAGATAATTGACTCATCTTAGGACAAGTTTTGTTTCCATGACTGAACAGTAGGAATGTAAAGCTTTGCCATTTTGCAGCCAGCATGGTTTTCTTAGATCTCACATGGAATATCTGAAAATCACCATCCATCTCCTAACATTTTGAGTAGTTTGGCCAGTACAGAGAGAAGTGGAGAGACAAACATAACACCAGCAATGCCTTTGCCATTAAGATATTTTTGGTTTTGATTCAGCATTTCTGGAACAAAACATGAACATCAATTAATTCTATACTGTTACATCACTGTTGCTGTTTGCTCATCCACCCACGGACATTCCACATAAAATTACCTAATAGTCAATTTGAAGTATTTTAAAGTAGCTTGTTTATACCCTAAACCAGCAATAGAGTTAGCAACCCAGTTTACAGACCTAAGGCACTGATCTCATCCTCAAAGATGTAAGCCACAAATGGTTTATATGCAGTGTAAGCCTCTGGTATTTTAGGCACCATTAAAAGTGGCCCTCTGTAGGTGCTGAGACCCTTACAAGCAAAAAAAAATTCCTCAAGACATGGAAAGACAATTATAGCCATGTTTTTTGAAGACATTCCTAATTTAAGATCGCAATCAGAGACTGACCATGACAGTCACCCAAGACAGATGACACCTATTGTTCGTATTATAAGCCATGAAAGATAAGGACTGCCTACTACAAGATGTAACTGGTCTTAGAGGATCTTTCAGAAACAACAAAAGCAGTGGCCTGCCAGATAAATCAGCTGAAGGCTAACTTGGGAAGCACCCTTACTTGTAGACTGATTGGTTTCCCTGGCTTTTGCAAGTCGCTCATGCTGAAACTGAGCATTTTTTATTTGATTTTGATGAAACCATCCCCATGCTAAACATGTTTGAAAGGCAGTTTACAGGTTTAAACTAAAGTGTTTATAAAACCTTAGTGAGGATTATGTTTCAAAAAATGAGGACTTCTGGAATAAGCTGTACAGTGTCAAATTCATTTTATATTCTGTTTAACATACATGTCAGTACATTCAAGGCGAGATAAATCTGCTCATTAAGAACCCATACAGAATGTTTAGCTAAGTATAAAGCATGGTATGTCTTTGTTTTATGGTGTATCTTTGATTTCAGGGTGGGCCAGACTGTGTTCAGCCCAAGTACATTGTCTGAGATGAAACACATGCGATGTGCATTTGAATTTGCTAGTATGCAAACCAGAATTGTCAGACATTCTGGCAGGGGACTGGCTGATGTGGACCAACTGTGGGCTGCTCTAGCTTCACGGCATAATTTACAGAAACCTGAAGCTACAGCAACTTACTTAAGAGAAAGGAGCAAACACATGAACAGCAGCAGTAATCAATGCAGGCTATCTCTGAACCTACTAAGGTTTGCTTTATTTCAGCTATGGCCCACAAGCTGGGAGTTGCATCTGGGGATGTAATGCTACAGATCTGAGGCCAGTTACTGCAAAAGAGGCTGTTTCTGGTTTAGGTCTTGTCCTAAGAAGTGACAGGTAGGTCATGCTGCAGCTTATTAAAGCCCAAGTGGGGAATGTAGGCACATTTAATGAGTCTACCCAATATTGTTATGAAGACAGCAGGGAAACACGCCACCTTCAATATCAGATACCTGCATCATCAGCAAATATCACATATTGCAATGAGAAATCAATCAAGGTCTGAGTTGAAAGAGAAAAGCTTCAGGCTACTGGTCGATTCTTTTTCTAGTGAGGGCTTTTGTCAGCTACCAGGGAAGCATTTGCATGGCTCTCACAGAAGCTCAGTGCCATGTCCTTACTGTAGCTGTATTTGTACCCAGCCTTTAGCCTGCACCTGCTTGCACCCTCTCAGTAAGAATAGGCTGTGTGAAGATGCCAGACTGTGCCTGTATGCACTCAGGAGCAACACTTGCTCTGGCCTTTTAATGTTTAAACAGCTGTGCTGGATTTGCCAGAGGGTGTCTGACAGTCGTTAAAAATTGATCCCTGAGTAAACTGCCCCAGTGCTATTTATTCCAATTCAGCTATGATAATTTAAACCATCTGAAGAGCAGCCTAATCCTGAACTGGCAAATTCTCCGAGATCCTCGCTACTGACTTGAACAGGAGGCTCCTTGTGGCAATGGGAGTGCCATTTCCCAGTCACTAATGACTGGACCAGAGAATAATGATACAAACCAATTTAAAATGAATTAATTCAGAATGAAAATGTAACTGCTAACACTGGTCACAGGCTTGTGCTGATACAGGGCACCCATGTATGCTGACTTACAGAATAGATGTTGGTTACACACATGATTAAAATGAACTGCTACACACTAACAGAGAAGAGGTATGGGGTTTAACCTTTCAGTTGCGGTCATACTGCTACTTTATTTTTTTTCCCTGTTGCAAAGGTTTGAAGCACCTCAAGGAACATCCATTTGGAAACATGCTAGAGGGAAGGGAAACAATATAATGTTCAGGACTACAAACACCTATGTTCTAGAAAAGTCTGTTTTCCTCCCAACTCCATCTGAACAAGGTTAGATGTATCTGCAACTACGCACTAATCTTTTTGTTGTTAATGGACATCTGGCTTCAAACATGGCTCATCTGCTTTGTCTGGCTAAGTATGATGACTGCTCACTATTGATCAGTACCCATTCTCTTGGTCCTGTCTATTGTTCTGCTATTAACTTACCAAATGACACACACCTTAACATTCCGCTTTATGGCATATCTGTTGTCTTGTTATTCTTCAAGATACTGCTTCCATTTCTTGACCTTGTCTTCAAAACACCTATAATAGAAAAGAGACACATAAAGATCACCTGATTGACCAGACTGAATTTTCTGTTAAATTAGTGACTTCCTGGAACTAATCCTTAGAACACAAGCACACCACAAATTGCTAGTCGAGTAAATGTTTCAGATGTGTATACAGTAAATCAATGGACTTTCTAAATAGCTAGCAAAATCAGGACCTTGAGGAATGTGGAAGAGCAATTTCTCACCTACTAATTCCTTGTAAAACTCAGAAAGATGGTAATAACTTGTGATGGCATTCAAAATTTTGGAGACAGTTTTACTTTGCTGTAAACCTACTTAATCCAGTCATCTTATACTCAAATTAATAAGCATAGTTCTAGTTTACAGGCAAGTGTGTCCATTTTAAACAAGCTAAAACTGATGCAAAGTTTCTCGAGTTCATTAACTACAAACCATCACCTGATTCTGCTAGCAAAAGTTTCAGAGCATATGTAATGCAGCAATGTATCTGTTTTAACCTTGGCTGGTTCAGGTAAATTCACATTTGTTAACGATGTATGACATGCTGACATCACTACATGTTTATAAAAAGAACATACAAATACACAGTGACATTTTACACAGTGGTTCACATAAGACACTTGAAGTCCAATGCTGTGGGATGCCAAGCACTCTTAACTCTCACTAAGTTCAATGTGAGTTGAGAGTGCTTCGTGGTTCAGGTGCTCGTGCCCTTGGTGAGGCTCTGCACAGTAAGGAATTATACCAACATTAATGTCTGAGACGAGAGTAATTTCTCCTTTCTAGTACGTGCGTTTCTAATTGCTGGATTAGTACAATTGGCTGATAATCACAGTAATATAAATGATTTTCTCTGTACTGAAGTGCTTTCTCTGAAAGTTAATAAAGCTCATTCAATATCGCCTACAGTTTTACAACACTGTAATGGAATAATGTAATGAGTACAATGTGAATATAGTACAAAAGCCAATGTAAAGTTAAAAATGGATCTAGGATAGTGCTGTTCTTGAATATGAGCAGTACAAGGTATGAATTACTTCTTTGAGCTGGCTACAGGAGTTAATCTGCAAACAATGCAGCCCGGCTCACATTCAGGTTCACTCCTGATTTTTTTTTCCTCCAAGATCTGCTTCCTACCCTTTTTTTCCAGTTGTTTTGAATGCACTCAACCTTGCTATTGCCATAAAGGTGATCATGCTTTTAGGTTGGTATCTTCCAGATTTGTACTGGAATTTGGTGGTAAAAATGGTTTTACAAACTTCCATGAGAATGTGATATAAGGACACAGCAGAAAACCAACTCTATTTAAAATTTTCAGCACAAATCCCAGGTCAGTTTGGAACTTTCAGGAATGTGTAGCCCTGTGACTTACGAGAATTGCCTCCTGCAGTAGTTGAACACCTTTAAATTGCTTTCACTATGTGCAAACAGAATTTTATTAAATTTCATTGTTTTGGAATCCACCCATACCTTGTATACCCATAATGCCAAGTCTGTTGACATAAGAGCACATTAATTGTATATGTAAGACCTCTAGCCCCCTTTTCCCCCTCTGCATGAATAAGACAAAGCCGTATTTAGGGAGAAATTGGCTTTGTCTGCCTGTAAATGAGGATCACCTGAAAGGCAGTCTCATAAGAAGTTGACAGTAATCAGTAATGCCAAATCCTCATTGCAGCAGTGGCATTTTCACCAACTGTATGGCCGATTTTGCAATTAAGAACACACAAAGAATTATTCCTTTCTTGTGTAACAATACTTTAATATTAATAAAAAGTGGTTTTATAGTTCAAGATTACAAATAAAAAATATTTCATCTTGACCCTTTTGCTACTTTCCCTCAAATAGTCTTGAAATTTTAGCTAGGAAGTGTTAAAAAACACAAGGTGGATGGATGCTTGCTCTGCTAAAAGCTGAAGGACTCCCTCCCCACTTTGCCATCACCAGATGTTTTGGAATGGAAGGTTTTGCTCCAAGTAATCCTGAAGAGCATACTGTGTCTCTCGTGGCAGGTGAGACCATGGGGGCACACACCACCACCAGATCCTTTCAAGCTGGACACAGCTGGGAGTGTACTAAAAGGAACGAATGAAGCGCCTCTCCAACTACCAGGCTGCATCAAGAAGGCACAACATAAACAATGGTAAAGTCAGTAAACAAAATTTTACTGTAATATTTCATAACACAGATACTGTATTTCTGTTTTAAGTGTAAAGCTACTGTCTTACACAGGAAAGATGGATAGACCCTTTTCCAAGACTAATATGGATACAATAAATACGGAGTTTTACATACTAGATCTGTACACAGAAACTTTGTCCCACAGCCATAAAAATTTACATTTAACAGTGCAACATATAATTTAATCCTTTATTTATCTGACATAGGATGTTTACTTACTGAACACAAGCAACTACCTGGTTTTAATATACATATTTTATATATATATATTATATATATATATATTCAACAATCTGTACAGGTTTCTAAACATAAAACTCCAAAAAGGCACAATCGTCTATACAACATGTACAAAAATGGCTGGAGCTGACAAGAAACAACAATTATTGGTCAAGAGTTCATGATTGCACGAAGATTAGTAATGAGTTTGTGTCAGAAAAATGTGCTTTAAGGAAAGGAAGGTTTGCAAAGAAACCTGTGTTATTTAAAAAAAAAACCAAAAATAAAAACACAATGAAAAACAAAAACTAGGTTGCTATCACAAGTCTATCCTCATCGTCACTGCTGCCATCGCTAAACTGCACCGTGTTTTGCTGCCGGGGCAAGGCAGCTGGCCTGTGTACCTGTCTGTCCGGGGACACAGTTCGGTGGACCGGGGACTTGGTTAACGTGTCGGGATTCGCCTTGGAGTGGGGCTCTGCCTGGGCAGCCCTCTTCAGCTGCAGGGACGGGACGTCGTGCTTTGGCTTGGCAGGATTTGTGAGGTCAGTCTTTTCAGGATCTGCTTTCCCTGCACCATCGGGTCGCTTGCTGTTGGTCAGCGGGGTGGGCTCGGGATGGCTCTTCCCACTGTACCGCTGGCCACCAGCTGCTGCCTGAGGAGAAGCATCCCTGCCGGCCTGGCCGACCTCAGACGCAGGGAAGCTGACAGGAGGCTCCAGCTGGGCCTCACAGGCTTTGCTGCCTGTGGCAGGCACCTCGCAGGCTCCCTGTCCCTCAGCACCTACAGGGCTGACGGAGGGGATGAGGGTCGGCAGGGCGATGTTCAGTATCTGCAAGCCAGGAATGTGGGCCTGTGGGCTGGGGTTGCCCTGTGGGGCAGCACCAGCGGTCAAAACCTGGAGGCCCACGGCATTCAGGGTGATTCCCGAAGGGCGCATTTGCGGGGCGATGTTTGTGTTAGCCAGGCCCAAGATGTTCACTGTCTCCATGCCCAGCGGGGGCAGAGGCTGCAGACTAGGCGTGCCAAGACCTTGGATGCCTGGCAGGCTCACCTGGCCGATGGGAATACATGGCACCACGCTGTTCACCTCGGCAACTCCCATGGGATTTGCAGTGGCACTGACGGCCACGCCACCCGTCTCACCGAGGGCACTGGTAGTTCTGTGAATCACACTAACAGCAGGGATAGTGAGCTGAACCGGCCCTGCCTGGATAGGAACAAAGGTGGAGTAGGTGGCCAGGCCAGCAGGGACCACCTGAATCCCCCCGACTGGTACCGTGCCACAGGGAGCCTTGGCTTGCTGCTGCGAGTGCAGGGGGAGGTGGCTGAAGAGGTGAGTCTGGGGAGCCCTCTGCTCGGCAGCAGGCTGCAGGCACCTGGCCAACTTCTCCTCTGGGATTTCAGCGTAGGGCAACGGTGCTGTTTGCATGCCGTGGTCCACTGGCGAGGAGGGAGAGCTGATGGAGGGTGTGCTCTGGGAGAGAACAACACAGGCATATTAGTGCGGTGGCCACTGCTATCCTTGAGTGAAATGAAAATACAAGGTAGCTGCCGAGTGCTTCCCACACTGCCTTATAAGAAAAAACAACAATAAACTGGTTCACAATATATACTGCCCAGCTTGAACAATGATCTAATTTCCTTCCTTTCTTTTTCCAACTCCTTCCTCACCAACTAATTGAATTTTCCTCTCCTAATTAGGAGAGGCTAATTTCTCTTGAACACTAGTACTTGAAAACATTGCTGCATATCCTTTGTACATGTTTTTTTAAGGAGTGAGAAGGCTTTGGAGAACTGTTTTCTGTGGAAATCACCGCAGGCAAGAAGCGTAAGCTGGCATTTCTGATGCACTGGGTTCCTCTCCTGGAAGCATTACAGCCTCCAGCAAGCAGAGGCAGGATCATGGCACATCTGTCTGTAGGTTCTCCTGACATGGAAGACAGGCAATATAAAATGACAAGAGACGGATGACAACTACAGTGCCTGCAGAGGCAGAAGTGACAGGCTGATACTGGAGTGAGATGTGGGACTCTCACCCCACTGCTGCCTCAGCTCACCATGGCTTGATGCACACACCTGGACTAACAATCATATTTATATGTTCCTTTTTCTTCTCATATAGCCTATATTAATGACCAAGGCTGGCAACTCCCTTCCTAAAAACTCCTAAACCAAGAAGTCTTAAATTGCAATTGCAGTCTCTCAGTACCTTTTAGTTTTAGGCATATTCACAACACATAGAGTGATGCAATCTTACTTATTTATATAGTCCTAAATGCTAATTCTGTGATTTTGACCAAACTCTCAAGAAATCTCTAGAGCAGGCAGGCAAAAAAAAAAAAAAAGAAACATGAACAGTAATGCCTTTGAAAACTGCTGGTATGAAATATATAGGTTAAAGTAGAATATGATTTACAGACTATGCAGTGCCAATCAGTCTAAATGGGAAGATGGGTGTGAGAAGGAAGCCAACATCTTTCTTAGAATTAAGTCCTGTCTGACACCTCACAAGAAATCCTGATAAACTGGTACGGATGCTTTTGAAGGAACATACAACAGCCTTCCTGAGCTGTCTCGACCCTTGTCTTGATTGCAAGAAGTGGGATCCACAACCATTCACAATAGAAACAGACTGTAGACGAGCCATCAGACACACGGCTGCTGCTTCTTTTGGTCTGGGAAAGTAGGTGGTAGTCTGGAGAGGAATTACTGCCTTTTATTACTTAGAAGCCTTTTTTTTTTTTTTTCCCCCTTTAGTATCTTGATGTAGACAATTATTAGAGCTATATTGATGAAGGCTTTTTAACATTGTTAATTGTGTGAATATTTTCTTGAGGCTTCAGTGGTTCTGTTCGATGAGGAGCGTACTCAGTCAAATGTCTTTCTGGTATCTATTGGCAACATCTGAAACCCCAAATCCAAATTATCAAGATCCTACCCCTTTTTTGGCAGGTATATACCGTGATCAGAGACCATTAATTTTATTCTCTGCCATACTACAAAACTGCTCCAATTTACATTTGCCACACGGACTCACAGTTCTACGAGGAAGAATGGACCAATGCCAAACAATGACATACAGCAATCATTTTTAGTGTTTCTTCTTGTCAATAGTTCACTATCTCAAATGTTGTAAGAAAGAAATCCAGTAATACAGGTTTTTAAGGAAGAAAGAAGCCAGTAAGTATTTAAACCAGAATGAAATTTTTTCTTACTGTTTATGCTTTAGAAAATTTCCTGCTGCTTAGTTTTCTATAACTACATGCATATACTATTTGTAAATACTGCATTCATCACAGATAAGGCAGTAATTTCTTCTTTATTTAAATTACATTTAAACTACACTTTGCATCACATTTATCTGAGCATTACTCTGTAGAGCTCTAGTTCCTTCATGTTCTGCAGTAAGAAATCTTTATCCCTTATCCTTAGGGTCAGTCAGGTATGTGACTTGTACCATCCCCATTACAGCCCATTAAAATATTGCATTAAAATACTGTTAAAAGCTTAACACCAGCCAGTTTTCCTCTGTGACTTCCTTAGCAGAGCTTTAAAGGCAACAGTCACCAAAATTACTGAACGCCCCTGCAGCCTTGCATACAGTCTGACCTCATCCTTCCGCACACTGCTCTGAAGAGCTGTGTGTCTATAATAGGCATAGGCAAAATTGATCCTTTTCTGATTAAAATATTCTTTCAGCTTGGAGAAAAACAGAGCTCAGGTCTCAGTTCTGAGCTTGCCTCTCCTTTTGTTATTGTGCAAAGACCATCTTGAACATCTGGTGCTCCTAGTTCTGCTACTAAGCATATTTGGAGGAGAGATAAACAACTGCACAATTTTTTTATGGTGATAAAGCAAACCCCCTTGGGACTAAACTAATTTCCCTTGGGACTAAACTAATTTCCCTTGGGAATTACCTATGATTCTATCTTCATATTTCAGAGTGAAATGACTTCTGAATTCTACCACTTTACTCTGAAAACTTCACCACTGTATGTTCATTCCAAGTATCTGTTATAGCTCTTATTTGTCAGACAATCTACCAGCTCCAAATTTCAGCTGAAACGACTGTATACAATTAATCCTTTCACAGAGAATGCAATCAAAATAAAGAATTTGAAAAGCAGTGCTCCTACAACATTGTTGCTTCTAGAGTCCTACGCATCTGTGCTTTGATCACTTTTAATGCTTCTTAAAGACTCATCAGCCAACTCTAAGAATAAAGGGAAAGCCAAACATTTTGATATTTGAAAAATCTCCCAAAATATCTTTGAAAGGAGGATTTAAAATCCCACTCTCTCCCCAGAATCAGACACTCCTACCTTTGTAAGAGCTGCAGTTGATATTAAGGAGTGGCCCATGGCTGCTTCTGGATCTGGGTAATCCACAGACATCTGGTGACCTGGAGATGTAGGAGCAATGTCTGCCAGTGCTGCACTAGCACTGCAGGGTGCCACTCCTCTCTCCTGGGCTTTATCCTCATGTGCTTCCTGATGGGTGAATTCTGCTGGTGACCTGGAGGTCCTGCTAACCGACTGTGCCGTGCTAAGGACCGTCATCTTTGTGAGCAATGCTTTTGGCAGACCATCCATAGAGTCTGTGTGAACCCCAGCAAAACAGTCTGGAAGTCTGATGTCTTCATCTGTGCTGCCAGCATCCTGCAGGCCGTGTCGAGAGGGGTGATGCTGGGGGCTGGCTGTCACTGAGGGGGTTGTGGATAGGACTGACTCAGCCTGACTATCTTCATCATCATCTTCATTGTCATTTTCATCTTCATCAGCACCATCAGACTCCTCCACATCATATCCTGACCGGTCACAGCCAAATCGTTGCTTCTCACCTGCAAAAGTGGGAATTAGAAGATAAGCCAATGAAGGTCCTGGATAGGTTGGGAAGGAGGTGGGAGAGAGTAATTAGAAACACCAAAATAACACATGGCACATGCATTTTTTCAGTCACATCCCATTCCATCAACACAACAGGGAAAATTTTCATTTTTGGTCTTATTTTCCAGTGTACATCCATGTTGTTTTTAACCTTCTAGATCCAGCTGTTTGCTTTTAAGCCACTTATAACCATTTGCTGCAAGTCACCCTTCACTCTCTCACCTGGGGAGAAGTGAGCAGATTCCCGGTTCATTAATTTCCCAGTGACGACATACGAAGTTGGTCTGCCAACCTTAGCGGTGGGATATTCTCTAGCTGGTTCTGACTCATAAGTGGGTGTCCTTGTACCTAATATAAATCACTGCTGCAAAGGTTTTTGAAGGATGCAAACAGAAAGACTGGAGGCTGTTAGTCAGGAATCTGTCTCCTTAACAGGCAAAAGAGACCAAAATTAGACCTCACCAGATTTCTTCACTTTGCTAATGTTTTGAAAGGTTTATTAACAAGTCACCCAAGATATCCTGGGAGGCCCTCATCCTCTCAAAACTTAACAATGCATGAAACTGCTCATATGAGCACATGCTCATATGAAGAAGCCCTCCTGATTTCAAGTCATAAAGTCAAACTGCTGTCTAGTGGTAAATTTCTCTATAAAATATAGCTCTACTGCAGCTTCTCACCTTCTTTTATATCACAACTTGGAAAGAAATACTCATCCTTAGTGAAGAGACAGAAAATCCCATCTGCTGTATCTGACTTCAAGCCAGACTGTCTTGGATCTTATTTTCTAAAAGACAAAATGCTTTGAATGCACTAACATTTTATATTCAACTAAAGGTCTGTCTGCTGAGCTGTCCAAAAAAAAATTATCAGCATAAAAATCATTTGGCTCTGCAAAAGCAATGACAGCTGGTTAGTTAAAATCTCAGGGATCCTGTTCTAGGGAAATCTACACAGCAATTTATCATCAACATGAACAATTCTGAAAAAAAAAAAATCAAACGCAGACCCAGACCCTTAAAAGAATCTGAATTTACTACCAATGCCTTTGGTTGCTATGTGGCAGAAACCAAAATAAGCACCTTGAACTCCAGGTAAAATAAACGGGTTTAATTGAGCTAACTCTCCATAAGCTACCCTCCATTGTAAGCCTTTATGGTTTCAAATGAGCAATGTAATTAGGAATGAGACTAACAGTTATTGGAAAAAAAATCCCTCTCTAATGACTTTGCCCCTCTTTGACTATAAAGTAATTTATACATGAACTTAATAGAGAAACCATAGAATTTCTGTATTTACTACAGCAGGCACGAAACGGAAATGTTATTAAAAACACCCCAAATCCTCCAGGTCATTGGAACAATGCTAAGAAAAGTATGTTCTAGAGTTTTAACTATTCTTCATAATTCCCATCTACAGATAAAGTTGTTCAGAAACAAAAATACATTTTGGTGGAAAAATTAATTCAGTAAGCTCCATTAATTCAGTAAGCTCCATTAAAATATTGGTAGGATTGTTAGAAATATTATTAACAAAGCCACATGGAGTTTTCGATGTTTTTTTCTCTATACTTCTGTCATTTCTATTCTTCAAACAAACAGTGCTTCTTCATCATTAATTTGCAAAGCAAACACATCCAAAACATTAGGACCTCTACATATGTTTGATTTCTGAATGGAAATAATTTCCCTTGATGGTTCTGCAGCAGATCTTGAAGACTTCTCCATGTGTAACATCTAGAGGATGATCCATGCATTTACTGCAACTCTTTAAACAATGCACAGGGCATTGCAAAGTCTTGGATTCAGTCTGGACTCTCTTTGGCTTCTTTACCAACATCACATAACTATTCCCTGGGAAATCCTACTTGCTTTTCTTTTTTCTCCCTCTCTTTACATGAATCACATTTTGTGTGAAAGTTGATGTCAATCACGAGTGACTATCTCCATCGGCAAGAGAAACTACCTGAAATGATTAGATTGACTTGTCATATTTGTAAAGCAAGGAAAACATAAGATCAAACAATGCTCTAGTTTATAATAAGAAACTCCTTTTTCAAATCAACATTTAAACTGCTGCATGATTTACTAGCAAATGCTGCTTATGTAGAAATCTCCTACATACATCTTGGCTTTCTAGAATAAAACCTTGGAGAGGAAAAGGGGAACTGTGTGTGGGCATAAATTCCTTACACGCAGGACTCGGTGGGATATCATTTCCCTCTATTATTTCCCTGTTTACCTCCACCCTTTGTGCATTTGCCAGCTTCTATTTAAGCGTGGTTGGTTACCTGTAGCCAGAGCCTGCAGTGTAGGCGAGGTGACAGCAATCATTGTGGTTCCCTTACTCCCACACCGCTTTGAAACATCAGATGACAAAAACACACTACCTGACTAGCTTGCTCTGGCAATGTACAAAGGAATACTCTGCTCTGGATTTATACCTGTGTGCACATTTGCTGAAACAAGAGGTGCCCAAGCTTTAACGATTAGTGATCCCGTTAAGCATTACTGTAAATCAGTGGAGCTGCAAAGGACCTGATGCTGGAGTTTCAAGCGGTGGAAGACCCAAGTAGGTCATGAGGTCTTCTCTATATGAGGCATCGAGCTGAGGGTGGGATCACTCCTTGTGGTAAAAGACTCTTTTCCAAGCACTGTCTTGTTAACCAAGTAGCACGGGCCCTGATCGATTCTGGTAATTGTACACTGCCTGCTAAAGTTCCTTGGCAGTTTTAATTGGGGAAAAATTAATTGATTCCTATCTTAAAATATGCACAATTATAACCATATGCTTATGTAGCTGATATATATAACTAGAACTGACTCAATTTCCAAAGGGAACAAAATTACTTCTGTGTTTATCTTTATATGAGGTTGTAAAGCAGTGTGGAATATTTTAGAATGAAGGATGTGTTATAAATTTAAAGACCACTAGCATATGGGGAAATTGCTTTTGGCATGAAAGTTCACAGGTTTTTTCTTAAAAAGAAAACAGGGAAAAAGGTTTCACACTATTAAGTGAAGGCTTATGAAAGCTACTTCTCTTTCAAATATGTAACTCTCACCATTTTAACAGAAAGACTGCTCAAGACTGCCTCAATTTTTTATAAAGAGTGTTTTTGGAAGAATAGGGAATGTCTCTCTCTCATCCTCTTGTCAACTCCTGCAATTTTTTCTTTTAAACCCTTAGAAAGACTCCTTCTTCTTGGACTTCATAGGAGAAAGTGGAACTTCTGGCTACAGAACTGAACTCTGAAAAGATAAGGAACAGCTGGAAATAAAGGTGTAACAGAAACATGGACACAACTTTTGACTGGAGATTTTGACTGTTTGACTGCTATAATTATATTTAATAAAATAACTGAGGTTTTAATCCAGTATATTGAAGTAAGTGTATACAAATCATAGGCAAAAATCATCTTAGTCCTTTCATTTATTTTGTTGTCAGTCCTCAGTTAATTAATCAGCTGCGTATTGTGGCTGTGATATTGATAAGCTTGCTGGCTAAGCTCTCGGAGTACTGACATTTTACCCTGAAGTGAGAAAGAAAAAGCTCCAAGTTCCTTAGCACAATAGCATTAGTTGAATTTATCAGCATCCTAATATGTCCATTAGTGAAACATGTGGGGCTGATAAATCCACCCACTGCTTTTTCCAGTTATGCTGCTATGAATTAGGTAACTAAAATAGGTCTCCCCTTGTACTTTGTTTTAGAAGTTTTTAAAACAAAAAAGTACTTTGTTTTAAAAAATTTCCCTATTGGAGTCCTTTGCTGTACATGGTTTTAACAATGGCCATCTAATTATCACCATACTGCAACATACTAAAAGAAAGTTCCACCAGAATCTCAGCTTGCATTTTTACTTGTGATATTATCACCAATTAGTACATCACATGACCTGACTTATCAGGCCCTGCTACAGACTTCACAATTTCTGCATCAACTGCAGTGATAAAGTTCAACAGCTTGTAACTTAGTCGTATTTGGTTATATCTTAATCATGGTTAGGTAGATTGCTCGTGCAAAGAGCAAAATGTTTATTTTTGTTCTTTCACTGGCAGGAAGACCTGAAAGACCTGAAAATAGAAGTCCAAACTGCTGAAGTTTTACACATTCCAAAGCAAATGGACAGTCACGTAGATAACTACAGGACTGCTATTAAGCTCTGCTTATACAGATAAAGACATAACTTACTGAGCATGTTGGTCTCTTCACTATCTATTCCAGTCTAAATTTAAATTTACTGGCTCTTAGCATCTGAGTAATACGAAGTAGTGTTTATCATCTCAAATTGTGGAAGTATCTTCAGCTGTGGATTAATATCTATTTAAAAGCATTTTAAAATAAAGCATCTGTTCTATGTTATATATTCTCCATCAAACTCAAGAAGGAAAAAGCCCAATAACATGTCAATAAAGGCAGAAATATTTTTTAGTATGTCATTGTATTATCATAAACTGGAAAGTAAGGTCTGTATGTCATCAATGCACACTCTATTTTCCAAACAATTACAAGCTTAGACTTGCCTTTCTCCTACTGTAGTGGTCCGGTAACCATTCAATCAGATTTTAAAGAGGGTAAAACATGTTTTAAGTACTGTGAGACAGCACTAGCGTCTATATCCAAACTTGCTGTCTTTCTATGTCTGTTCATAAGCTTTGATTGACTGATTTCAGTCTTGCTTCAGCTACTGTCCACTGCTCATCACCATCAAACAGGACTCAAGAGTGACATCTACTGGGTTAAACTCAAACTGGTAATAGCCAGCGCTACTCAGAAATCATTAAAAAAAAACCCAATCCTGTGGGCTTTTGATTTTCATTCCTAAGAGTATGGAAAGTAACAAAGTAAAACTAACCAAAAAGTAAGAGTAACCCCTGTTTAAAAGGATTATTTACACCTAAGCCTTCCTGAGTAACATGTATATTGTTACTATTGTTACTACCCTAGCAGTAGGTAGTCTATTTCCAGGCTGTGTTGTAGGGCTCCAGTATACTCTGATGTACATCTAGTTGAAGACTAGACACTGATATTTAAAAAATTTAAAAATTAAAAAAATTCAAATTGTTGTAAGCTGTACAGAACCAGCCTTCCATTCTATCTGCAAAAGGAGGATACTGTTGCAAGGATTTTAATTTCTTTTCACTCCTTAAACATAGGTGCAGTGAAAACACACCCTGTGTCATGATTAAGCTAATGAAGAGCCATGGAAACTCACTTAAGATCTGCTATAAGTAATATATAGCTAATTAACTTGAAACCATTGTATCTTTAGAAGGATTTAATACTGCAAAAATGATTTTTTTTTTCCTATATGTATATAAATACATACCTGAAACTTACAATTAGGTCTTTCCACTGGTGAAGTAATATCTGGGATAAAATTCCTCCACAGAGACCCTTTTAAAGAGTATAACTGTTTAAATTTTAAGACAAATTATTGCTGTTTGTAAGACTGAATAGCAAAATGTTGGATCAACATGGCCAAAGAGGATATCCCCAGTTGCAGTCTGTCACACTAAACAGTTCACCTCATCTGACAATTTAATTCCGATATTAACATTCCTTACATTGTAACCCTGTATTTTGGTGACAAGAACATTCCACAGAGCAGAAGATGAAAGATAAATGGACTAAGGAATGGCTTTGAATACAAAAAGCCAAGCCAGAAAGTAGTTACTAATACCCAAATGATGACAACTACAAAGACTGCTATGTTAAAAGCTCTGATCACATACAGCCTCAGACAGCTAGAGAGCATCTCTTTCTTTTTCCCTAGATGCTACAGCACAACAAGATTTCAGCTTCTCAAATTACTGCAAAATAGCCTCTGCATGTGTGTATCTGTGTATCCTGCCATCAGGATTGTGTACAATTTTGCACTCCTTATTCAATCTGCATGCATTATTAATCTATACTGTCACTGGGTCAAAGCTGACTTCTCGTATGACTCTAAAAGATTATATATTCAAATAATTGTGACTGCCTGTGCTTTAAAAAACCCCAAGCCCAAACATAAAAATAGAACCAGCAAATTCCCTAGTAAATAAAAGGTTGGTGGCTTCGTTAAGTTTCTGGATAATTTCTCTAATACAAAGTCTCGTGGGAGACATACAGCTTAGTTATTTTAAGCAAGGGTGAAGACATTTTTATTACCATAATAACAATCAGTATTCCAAGTGTTCAAATAACAGATTAGCTAGAGACAGACAGACAGACATTCTGTGGGTCAGGAGACAAGCCAATCTCACACAGCCTACAGGAGGAAGAAATCTATTTCTTTTGAGGTCATAGTTATTTCTTATCAGATTTTCTGCACCTTCCTCACCAGCATCTCATGTTGCCTTCCTCTGAGGAAAGAGATGGGACCAGACAGACCACTCTGAGAGAGAGATCGTTTCTGACAACCACACAACTCCTGAAGTAAAAAATGTATGCATTTAAAGACGTCAGTTTTTAAAACACCGAAAAGATTATTTGACATAAACCTCTCAGCAATGCACATCAGAGAGAGGAGGGGTGAAGGAGCCAAAGACTAACACCATGAGTGAAGCTTGTGGCCAAAGGCCCATCATGTTTTCCTTTGCAAGTAACTACTGGCAGGACTCTCCCTTGAGCCCAGACCTGGCATGAGGGGTGCTGGCCCCAACAGGAGCTCTGCTGCACTGCTGTCGTGGTTTAAACCCAGTCAGGTAACTCGTTCACTCACTTCCCCCCTTCTTGCCCTCCCCCTGCTCCCGGAGGGACGGAGAGGAGGATCAAAAAGAATGCAACTCCCACGGGTTGAGATAAGAACAGTTTAGTAACTAAGGTATAACACAAATCACTACTGCTACCACCAATGATAATAATGATAAAGGAAATAACAAGGGAAGAGAATACAACACCTCACCACTAGCCAACCAATAACTCACCACCCAGGCCCGACCAAGCACTGACCCATACCTCCTCCAACCCTGCAGTCTCCCAGCCCTTCCGGCTAACTCCCAGTTACATCCTGGGCATGACGTGCTGTGGTATGGAATACCTCTTTGGTCAGTTTGGGTCAGGTGTCCTGTCTCTGCTTCCTCCTGGCTTCCCCTCCTCCCTGGCAGAGCATAAGGCTCACAAAGTCCTTGGCCAAACCAAAACATCGCTATCAGCTCTCTTCCCAGGCCGAAAGCCAAAACACCGCACTGCACCAGCTACCAAGAAGGAGAAACATGGCTGCTACTGCTGAACCCAGGACAACTGCCCTGGGGAAAGGGCATCCAAAGAGGTGACTGAAGCTGCTTTGTAAACTGAGACTGATCAGACACCTAAGAAAATAAACATATTCAATCACATTCAAACACAATGAAAAATTTCGCATGTACAAGATTTTGGAAAGGGCAACAGTTCCACCTACATTTAAAAAAGCCTGTATGCAAATACATCACACTTTTTTTTTTGTCTCCTGTCTGTCTTAGAAATGGGCCAACAAGCAAGTTTCTGAATTATCAGGAGAAATATTTTCATGTGTGAAAGGTGAGATGACAGATGAAGTCACATTTTAAAAGTGTACAGTTACTCACTGAATTTACATGGACAATAGCCAATGCCCTTTGCCGGATTTTTTTGAGGCTGAACTGGTTTGGCTACAGCAAACGTGTGTTTATCACAGGCTTTATTCCCATTTCTTGGATAGGACTTTGGTGCTGAGCTTTGTGCTACACACCTGGTTTTACTATGGGTACCTGAGCCACATCACTCAGATAAGGTAGAGATTTTATCACCAAGTTGATAGGCTTGATTTTTTTATGGTTTTTAGTTAAAGCAAGAAGTGTTACCTGCTCTATTTTATTTTTTTTCTTGGAGGGTGGTGGGGTGGTGTGTGGAAACATCTTAAAATAAAATTTCTGGTAGAATTTCAAGGATTATGTAGCAAAACCTGCTGAATGTTTGTCTTGCCTTTTTTCCAACATTTATTAAGTAATTACTGTGTTGAAGCAAAGTACATAGTTCAAGGAATACATAATATATTTACACTATGGTTATACACACCTATACATGATATGTAAAAAGACAGTCTCTCTCCCCTCTCAGTAGTCTTAAAGCCAAAGAAAAGCAACCTTTCAACAAACGTTTGAAAGGGCTTACTTCTACTAAGTGTTACTGATAATTCTGTTAACATTTGAAACATTTCCCATTACATTATAACCACAAATGCAATTTTTAATGTATGCAATTGAGAATATCAATTTATCAATCAGTAAAATGTTTCCAGTTCCTAGGAAATGGAAACCCCTGCTCAGATGTACTTTATAAAGCTAAATAAAATGTCAAAAGCTACAGAATGTAATTGCTTTTTTTTTTTTGCATCACAGGAAGGTTAAAAATGTTAGTGGGAACTGTTCCCATGTGAGAAAAGGACAGTAATTTGTACTGCTGCTTACCTTCTCTGTTTGGTACCTCAAATTGCAAAGGGGGGCCCATGTTTTTAGCTTATTGAAAAGGACTATATTGAAGAATGCCAAAAAGGGGAAAATGCAGGTTTCTTTGTACCTAGCACACCACTGAATCATACCAGCTGAGTCATATTCCCGGCATTATTTAGAATTAGATTCAAGCTGATTCGCTTATTCTGCTGGCTGTTGCCATATGGGACCAAGCGCATTCATCTTTCTTGCCCTTTACTGTTTAAATAAAGACCCCCACTGCTTTCTTTTCTCAAAACCTCATCTTCAATCTAATAAACTATTCCACTGAAAGAAGAAAAATACAAGGCAAGGCGACACAACTCATCTCCCTGCTGAGAAACCAGAGGAAGAAGAAAATGCAACCGCTGCACTGACACATGCCAAGACCTGAAACAGCCCTAATGCACAACCTTGTTCTCCACCCCACTGCACCTGGTGCAGTTACATCTTCCTTATTATGGTGAGCAAAACCCACATAAACCTAGTTTGGCCCTCTTTGACTGTCCTTGATCTCATTTCCTCTTCAGCGGAGCCATCTCAAGATGTGGGAAATGCAAAATCCCAATTATTAGCAAATACATTCATTTTGATAACACTTTCATCACTAATGGAGAAATAGAACAGGTCAAGATGAATAATGTTGGTAATTTTTAAATTATTTCTACCTGTTGATTTATGCCTAATTATTTGTGAAAGGGGACAGAACTTTACACTGGAAGAAGGCAGCCCACCTTGCAGAACACTCAGCAACATATTTGTGATTCTGATGGCATGTTAGTGATGTAATTTTTATGCAATGTGCATCTCAAAAAGTTTGCCAATTACATGCACATCCATTTTCAAAGAAATCCTACATTTGGCTACCTTTTTTTTTCCAGGCAAACAGCTGTTTTGCTGGTATTTTCAGTCTTGTCATATTTAACTGTGAAACTGTTGAAGTTAAACTGCATAACACTTTGTGAAAAATTCAGCAGCAATTTATCTTTAGCATATGCTTGTCATTTCTTTAGATGAAAATTTTTCCAGCATTGCTTATTCCCTTGGATTAGCTTCTAAGTTTTTCATCTCTGTATCTATTCGTGATGAAGAATTTAAAATCTTTGGAAATGAAAGGGTAAGAAATTGGAATGACTAAATAAATAAAAAATTCAATAAAGAAAGATGATTTTATTTCTTACCGAATTCTTCTTCTCCATCCTGGTCATCTACTAAGGCTACCGAGACTCCCAAATCCATGCATTTCTTGCTATGTGCCTTTGACTTCATATGTTTGGTTAAATTTCCTTAAGAAGAAATGAAAAAAATTATCTGTTCTGTGACTATATGACTGTACACAAATATATACCCAACATGTCTGTATCTTATTCAGCTACATTTGTAATCACCTGTAAAATTTGATTTCACACTTGATAGAACCTTGCCCCTCAATGCAAGCTGTCAAGGGCTGAAGCCGATTCACCATCCGGAACGTCTCTGGATACATCTCACGAAGCTCTTTACTGAGATCATAGAATCACACAATCACGTAGGTTGGGAAAGGCCTTTAAGATCATCAAGCCCAACCATTACCCCAGGACTGCCAAGCTCACCACTAAATGTATCACTGAGGGCCTCATCTACACAGTCTTTTTGAACACTTCCAGGTACACTGATTCTGTAACTTCCCCGGGCAGCCTGTTCCAATGCCTGATCACCATCTCAGTGAAGAAGTTCTTCTGAATATCCGATCTAAACCTCCCCATGTGCATGAGGTCGTTACCTCTTGTCCTATCACTTGTTACTTGGAAAAAAGAGACCAATCCCCACCTCACCAGAACCTCCTTTCAGGTAGCTGAAGAGAGCAATAAGGTCCCCCCTAAGCCTCCTTTTCTCCAGACTAAACAACCCCAGTTCCCTCGGCCATTCCCCATAAGACTTGTGCTTCAGGCCCTTCAACAGCTTTGTTGCACTTTTCCAGACTTGCTCTACCACCTCAAAGTCTTTCTTGCAGTGACGGGCCCAGAACTGAACACATTATTCGAGATGTGGCCTCACCAGTGCCAATTACAGGGGGATGATCACTGCCCTCGCCCTCCTGGCCACACTATTGCTGCTACGTGATTGCTGCCAGGATGCTGTTGGCCTTGGCTGCCTGAGCATGAGCTGCTCATGTTCAGCTCTGTCAATCAGCACCCTCAGATCCTTTTTTGCCAAGCAGCTTTCCAGACACTCTTCCCCAAGACTGTAACGTTATATGGGATTATGGTGACCCAAGTGTAGGATCCCTCACTGAGTCTCACTGACCCTCATACAACTGTCCTTAGCCCATCGATCCAGCTTGTCCAGATCCCTCTGCAGAGCCTCCCTACCCTTCAGCAGATAGGCATTCCCAGCCAACTTGGTGTCATCCACAAATTTACTGATCCCCTCATCCAGCTCATCAATGAAGATGTTAAACAACACTGGCCTTGACACCGAGCCTTGAGGGACACCACTAGTGACCAGTCACCAACTAGATGTGATGCCATTTACCACTACTCTTTGGGCTCAGCCAACCAGCCAGTTTCCAACCCAGTGAAGAATTCACCTATCCAGGCCATGAGCAGCCAATTTCTCCGGGAGAACACTGTGGGAGACAGTGTCAAATGCTTTACTTAAGTCTAAATAGACAATGTCCACAGCCTCTCCCTCACCAACCAGGCAGGTCACCTTATCGTAGAAGATCAGGCTGCTCAAGAAAGACCTGCCTTTCATGAACCCATGCTGACTGTACCTCATCCCTCTGTTTTCCAGCATGTGCTTTATCATCTCACTTAGGATCATCTGCTCAGTGACCTTCCCTGGAGCTGAGGTCAGTTCAGCACTCTTGAGTGTAACCCATCTGGCCCCATAGATTTGTGTATGTCTCTGTGGAGCAGGAGGTCACTAACCACTTCTTCCTGAATCATGGGAACTTCAATCAGCTCCCTATTTCTGCAAACGAGTTCAGGGAACCGAGTACCCTGAGGATGGCTGGTGTGACTATTAAAGACTGAGGCAAAGGCAGCATTAAGTACCTCAGCCTTTTCCTCATCCTCAGTCACTAGGTTTCCTCTAGCATCCAGTTGAGGATGAAGGTTCTCCTTGGCCCTCCTTTTATTGTTAATATATTTGTAAAAGTACTTTTTATTACCTTTTATGGCAGTGGCCAGATTAAGTTCTGCCTGTGCCTTTGCCTTTCTAACTTTCTCTCTACATAACCTAACAACATTCCTGTACTTTTTATGGGGTAACTGTCCCTTCTTCCACAGGTGATAAATCCCCCTTTTTTTAATCCTGAGTCCAAGCAGCTCAGCCAGGCTGGTCTCTTCCCTGCCTGCTCCTGCACCCTGAATTACTTGAAGAGTAATTCTGCCAATCAGTGTCCTAAACAGCCCCAGGTCAGCCCTCTGGAAGTCTAAGGTGGAGGTATTGCTGACCTCCTTCCTGACTTCTCCAAAGACTGAAAATTCAATCATTTCATGATTGCTTTGCCCAAGACAGCCTCCAACCATCACATCACCCACCAGTCCTTCTCTGTTGACGAAGAGCAAATCTAGCCAGGCATTTCCCCCAGTTGTCTCACTAACCAGCTATGTTAGGAAGTTATTTTTCACACCTCCAAGAACCTCCTGGATTGTTTCTTCTCTGCTGTGTTGTACTTCCAGCAGACATGTGGTAGATTTAAGTCCCCCACGAGAACAAGGACAAGTGATCATGAAACTTCTCCCAGTTGTTTGAAGAATGCTTTATCTGTAGCTTCATCCTGCCTGGGTGGTTGATAACAGACTCCTACCAGGATATCTGCTTGGCTGGCCTTCTCTCTGATCATCACCCCCAAACATTCACTGTTCTCACTCACAACATTGAGTTCAGGCAGTTGATGTACTCCCTGACGTACAATGCAACTCTACCACCTCTTTTTCCTTGTCCATCCCTTCTGAAGAGACTGTAGACATCCATTGCAGCACTCCAATCATGCAAATAACACAGCAGGATAGAAATCCTAGATGATGATGCATTTTGCACCGGTGTAAAAGATCCCTCACTTGTTTATGGCAAAGTATAAAAATGGATGACTCAGTCTTCAAAGACATGTAGACAGAAAACTATTGCATGAAACTGGAAGTTCATATCTATCTTGAAGCTCATTTAGCATTTGATGGATTCTATTTTTACTGTCATCATTTTCATTGCCAAGCTAAATAAACAGATAAATTCTATACAAAATCAGTTTATGAACATATTCAATCTGAATCTCAGAAGTGAATGGCTAACTGCTAAGGGGCCCTGCAAGCTGCTTTCCCCTTCTTTGAAAAGGCAATACAGCAGCAAATAGAATCAAGAAAAGGTTAAGGGTAGATCAGAAACCTGTAAATTATGATATTTGTGCAATGTACATTATTACATGTAACTGCTCACTTTACACTTAAATTTCCTACTGTCTCTCAAAAAAAAATGGGAGAAATACAGTGGTGGAAATGGCAACTCTTCCCTGGTTATGGAGTACTTTATTCCTGCTTTCAAATTAAGGTAGTCATTCACCCCAAATTTCAAAATAATTGTGATGAAGCTATATGAATATATTAAGTCACCAACAGCAAATTTCCTGGCTTTACATACTGCATGAAGTTACTGGCTATACTATCCTGTCATGAAGTCTGTGGTTTGCCAAACATCAACCACTCAACTCTGTGACTGACTCTGCCAGGAGTAATAGCAACAGCCGGGCACAGCAACTACAGAAGAGGAAGCGAATACAAGTATATGCTACAACTGAAACCAAGGAGAATTTTATTGGGCAGAACTTAATTACTCAAACTTGGCCAGCATGCCTACTCTGCAAAAGCCATAATCAGAATTTACTGGATTCACATTCTGGAATTTCACCTTAAAAGCAACATGATGACCCAGTCTGTCAGGATGCAGTGATAGGTTTTGACACATGTAAAGACTATCCATCCCACTTTCTGCAGCACTGGCTTATTTCTTGGAAGCTTTCCACCCAATTGCTGAGCAGTCTCGAACCCACTAAAAATACAAATGTTTCCGAGGTTACAGCTGGGGGGATTACTGCTAAATGATGTTGAGAGCCAAGAAAAAATTTACTGCTTAGAATTTTTTCGCTGAAAGTATTTTGGCTGTGAACTTCTCCTGTCTGCTTCACTTCTCTTGAGTCTAGATCTACCACTGCTTAATATACCACCTGCTTAAATTAGGATGAATTTAAGTATATGGTGTAAACAGGCTTCAAAAAGTTGGGATCCATCTTTGGGTCTTAGAAGGTCAAGTGGAAAGTGAACCTTGTCCTTCAAAGACATTTTAATATAGTAATTCAATAAAGACCAATTTCTTTTCCAGAGCAGTAAGATAAGTGCCAACAGCAGTACAATATATGGCAATCTCATACTTCCAAAAGAACATTGCTGGGGACTTCAAATTCTGTGTTCCCACCCTTATCTAGGATGGGCAGCTAACCAGCTCACTTGTGTTCACCTAACTTTCATCATACTCCTATAGGATTTCCCTTTTCAACTCCAATTTCTCACCCACCATGGCATGCCACAGTTCATTCATGTAAAGATCTGAATAAACATATCTGAATAAATATACAGAAGACAAAGGAAAAGGGAATCAGAAACTACAAATATCTGAAGCACTACACAAAAACCCTCCACAGAAAGACAACTTCTTTAGCTCATTAATAGCCAAATGGGAAAAGACAAGAATTATACTTTAAAGTAGAAAGAAAAAAGGGGAGAAATATACACAGAAAAGTACCCCTACCTTTAGTTTTGAAGGAGAAGTTGCAGTAATTGCAGTGGTAAGGACGGACATCCGTATGCGTGCGAATATGCTTCTTCAGCATGCTAGGTTTCTTGCAACGTATTCCACATTCTTCACAGATATATTTCCCTCTCCCTCTCCCCCGAACATACACATAGTCTTCATTTGACTTGTACCTAACAGCACCGTAAGAGTAAGGCAATCAGTTGTAATGGGAAAATGATTCTAGTTAGAAACCCTAATCTACCAGAATTTCATATAAATAAATATAAAAGATGAAAATGAATGTCTGTCAAAACCAATCTTATTATTTTTCTGCTCAAATTCTGCATTTATTTGTTAAATGTCTATCTAGACTTTTCACTAGGTAACCATGGACTTGTTTAGGAATAACATTACATCGTTTTTAAGAAAGGTATCATCTGATACTAGGCATTCAAAGATTTCAAATTTCCTCTTTGCAACACAGGAACATTCTTTTAAAAAGTGCCAGCTCTTGGAAGCAGGTTTGGGCACCATGAAGAAGCTTTAAAAGGGCACTTTTGAGACCCTCTGAGGCATTGGGTGCAGAAAAGGAACATTAGTTAGACAATGGGAAAATCTTTAAAATTCCCTACCAATGTGCTCTGGACTCAGCCTATTTAGTCTCTAGATGGAAAAAGTCACTGAGGTTCAATTACATCCTTCATATCTTTGTTCAAGGATGCCAAAGATGGTGCTTAGCTTTTGTTACCTGGTCCCTGCAACATTTGCATCTGAGCAGAGACATGTAGCAATGTTTTACCTGGGCAGCTGGTAATGGCTTAACTGCTGGTTTAGACTGAATTCAAACCAGGCACCAATAAATGGAAAGCCCTAGAGCCCACACAGGTTACAAGAATAATAAAATATGCACCATTTGTGCTCAGAATTTTTAGATGTGTCATTGGCACTCTTCTACTAGAAAACGTGTTTTGTAAGATGCTGTACATAGCACAACACCGTGGCTAACAACTGTTATCCGTATCAGGCAACTGATTTAAAGTATTAAGGTGCATGAGCAAGGGCTCTCAGTAAATATTTCCATGGCACTTTTCAAATCAGGAGTTCTCCAGCCTGTGAATGCCACAGCAAACTGCCAGGCAGCGACTGCTGCTTAGCCCCTGGACTATATCCTCTCCAGCTACAGTTATACAACCATACTGCAGAACAGGTATTATTTATCACGTATGAGAAAAATAGGAAAATAATTTACATCTATGGCTGTATCCAGCTGCCTTTACTGCTGATGAATGTTCATCCTCTGGAAAAGAAAATTAATCGCATTGCCTACTGTTCTTTATTTCATTACTCCTCCTCGTAACTCTCATGGCTCCATGCTTCTGACGACTTTCCATTTTTCTTGGAAACACAAACCAACATTCACAGACCACAATATGGGAATGGTTGTTTGAAATAAATCAATCAGGAAGTAATATCTCTGCAAATTCTAGAATCAGGGGAAAAATATCTTCCCAATGATAACTAGCATACAAAATACAATACTTGCCCTCCATCAAATATTTTAACTCTTCTTGGTTCAGTTTTGATAAAGGAGTTTTCTTTGTCATGCTCAGTGCTTGATTCAGAGTTTTCCTTATTACTGAATTCAGTGGCAGTCAATTTTTTTCTATTTAATGCTCGCTGAAAGAAAATGAGATATGCATATCATTAAAATGAGTATCTTTCATATGCCATTCAAACCTGCAAGTTATGATGAATAAAAGCATCATAAAAGCCACAATTATAATAACCTATTAAAAAATATTTAGGTATATGAAACAAAAAGTGTCTTTTGCTTAACTTCTCTACTGTGCATTGACTATTTGTGGACTGGTAAATCTGTATGGAGATTATGGCACTGTAGGAAATCAGGAGTGTTTTGAATCTGCAGTAGAAGGTATCTCCTCTGGGAAGATGAAGGTGCTGTTTTCTAGTTTACAGATAGCCTTCTTCAGAGAGAAGATGCTTACAGTCAAACCCAAGTGCCTTCTGAACAGCTACAGCTTCACTCCTTTGCCCTCAATGTGGCAACTGGACTGCACAGACGAGGCTCTGCAGCTGCATGATACACTGCTCCCCACAATTTAACAAAAAGGGGGAAACTTCAGTGTGTAACCAGTTACCCATGCCTTTTCTCCACTCCTCAAATCTTGATATTTCAGTATTGCATTCCCAGCGACAGCTGCCCTCTTCCTGGTGTCTACCATAGCAGGGCAAGGCTTCCCTGACTGCTTTCCATCCTATCTCTGTGGGCCTCGGGTCTCACCCGCCAATCCACAACCCAGCAGCACCTCATCGCTGGCAGAAGCTGCTTTCCTACAGCACAGTAAAGAGGAGAAGGGTGGGAAGGAGGGGCATGCTGAGGGAAGATACTAACAGGTAACATTTCTGATTGCTAGTATTTTGCAAAAAATATACCTGTTTTAGTGTGGAAATTTACTGTTCCCAATTTGCTGAGGTTATAACAGGGGCTTCAGAACCTTTCCAAAGCAGGACTCCACATTTAATTTCCACTAGCAGACCCAATTACATGAAAAAGTGTACCAGTTGTCTAGCAGAACAAAAACACATTTCTCCATCTCCCCTGATTATTAATCAAGGAATTGGGAAAAAAAAAAAAAAGACAAGAAGGATGAGTTCCCCCAACATTTGCCAATTAAAATCTACTCCTTCCAAATCTAGGATATTTATAAAATGGGCAACAATGAAGAAGTGATCCAATTAGGCAGCAATTATTACTGCTGTATTTATAAACTGTTCTACCCACGTAGCTGGCACACTTACCACATTTGCTCATATTGGTAAGTGAATAAAATGATGAGAGGTAAAAAAAAAAGAAGCCTGGTCTTATGTTTTCTACTCATTATAAAATGCTGTAAGCTTGCAAACTCTTGGCAAGAGGAATGACTTCACTGGCTGACTTAAAATGACTGATGGTCACTTAAAATGACACTGGTTGTTATCTATATTGCAGGGTGACATCATTCTGGCACCCAATCCTTGCCCATAGTCCACCATGCAGCCTCAGCCACCGCCTTTACTTCCCACATGATGAGGCATGTGGATGATGAGGAAGACAGATCAGAGGAAAAGCATCTTATTTAATTCAAAGCCCTTAGAATCTGCACAGGCTGCAAGTACCACTCCAGTTTGAATGCCTTCATACAGACTTCCGACTGATTTGGGCTGGAATTTCAAATATCTGAGCAGTTCTACCAAAGCACACATGACAACTCTGCCTGTGTGTAGGAAGAAAGAAATTTCACCCTGCATGTTTTAACAGCATTCATACAAGTTGAAAGGAGATGATGTTCTGGATGAGAATTATCAGAAGTGGAGCCTATTCCAGTAACTGCAACTCAGCCATGTTGTAATTCCTCTACTCTACTGGCACATGAAATGCTTTTGTTTCCATTGCAAACAAAAAGTAGCAAGGTGACATTTATAATTTAACATGAGCAGTGGACAATACAGAATACGTACAATAAACCAAACACCACATAAATATTCCCAGCAGGTAAAATACTGCAATTTTTAAATGGCTAATCTTCCAATCCTAAATACTATTTCCAGATTTAATTTTCAAGAATGAAATGACAAAGGAAAAAGAAATTTGGCCTACATTGTTATACAAATTGTAGTGAAACTGTGTTATAATAAATTGTATATTAAGCAGATAGAGTGCAAAAACTAACACAAGGCCAAATACCTCTGGATTCTCCCCCCACCCCCTTTTTTTTTTAACACACGTTTACATACAGACATAAGATAGCCTAACATAGGTGTTTAAATTACTACATACCTCCCACTCATTTACTTTAATTTACTAGTTATATGCTATTTTAGCAGCTGTTTCAGTCTTAAAGATGCAAAATGCTGCTATAACAGAGATGCTCTAATACAAACACTGATTTCTGTCATAGAAATCTGTAGAAATGCTAATTCACAACATAAAAAAGAAGTTCTTTCACTTTTTATGAAAAAAATGCAAACTGATGCTGAAAAGGACTTGGGTCCTCTGCATATTTTAAAGAGCAGCCAGTCTCTAAGGACCATGGATTTCTTATGTGGAAATCCTTCAATATACCTCACCTAAAATCCCTCCCAGTCCCACATGTACTGGTGGAAAGGGTAGAAATACAGCAGCACTGTAAAATATCCCTCTCCACGATTACTTATGCTTTCAGTTTCTAGCACAGTCCTCTCTTCTCCCATAGAGACAAGGACCATGATTCATTTCTACTTTACTCATTTTGCTCCAATTTAACTCCACTGTCTTCAATTACTGGTATAAAAGTGGAAAAAAACCCCTGCTCTTAGGGCTGCCCAGAGACCAGAGTTCAATTGATACTTCTGGTACTTTAGAACAACCCTTGGAAAAAAAAACATGCTCGCAGCCTGAATCATCAAAGTTACACATTTCAGATTAGAAAATTCATTAAACATTTTTCCCATAGGCAAACAGCCACTTGAGGAAAATGTTTTTAATTTCTTTAAGCTTTTACTAGTTTACACATAAGAATCTTCTGCACTTAACTACTTTCCAGTGGTGAACTGGACTGTTGTGGCACACCATCCAAGAAAGCAAAGCTTTCCAGTTAGCAGATACTTTCCATTCTTCAGCCTATTCTTGCCTGAAAATCTTCACCCTGGAATGCTGCCCACACTAGTGAGCTGCTTTAGAAAGGGAAGCCAAGATCAATGCAAGGGCTTGAGAATAAGCTCCTGATACAACACAAACAACTTCAGGTGAGGACAACTGGTGAAAAATAATAATAAATAAACAGAACAATGAAATCAAAAGAGCAGGGAGATATAAAAAGCCTTTTTCATGCAGGTGAACCTCCTGTTATATTTGAACGTGCTGCACTCCTTCCAGGAGCTTCTTTCACAATTACATTTTGTGGTTTTCCTTTGAATCACTGGAACGTGGCAACTTCACCTATTGCCTCTGAGCAGTGAATTGTGAAGAGCAAACAAAGTTCCAGGGTTCCTCATTGTCTGCATTTTGTTCATGTCTCTTAATTTTGCACATATCTATTGTTGAGAATTAACTTTTTTGTGACAGTGATTAATGGTGGTTACGCAGAAGCACGAGATCTCTGTAAACATGACTTAGTTCTGGGGGAAAACCCAGGAACAGCCCAGCAACTCACTTAATCTTGGTGAGAAGATCAGCAGTTAAAGCTCCATGAGCAGAATACACCAAATTGTTCTGCAAAGTGATATGACAGTGAGAGAGAATGTGAGGCATAATAGTGCTGTGTTTTTATTATTATTTATAAATTGGATTACAGCAGCACTTAAGGCTGCTTGTCAACTCAGGGTTAAAATGTGCAAGCCACTTGAGCAAACACAACCCCCAGAGGCTTTCAATCTAAACTGTGGTTCCTGAAGGAATTCAGGACCCTGCTGAGGTTTTAAGCAGGAAATCAATATTTTTCTTTTTTTTTTTTTTCATTATTATTTGCTAATCTGTTTGTGGTTTTGTTTCTTTTTTGTTGTTGGCTTTTTTTTGGGGTGTGGGTTGTTTTTTGTTTGCTTGTTTTTAAATGGAATATTTACTGGCAAAAGGATCTCCAGTGATTTCCATCCTCAGTCTCAACCAGGAAAAAACAGAATTACTGAATGAGAATTGAATGAGGAATTTCAGTTTTTGCTTTCTTTAAACATGGCTTCTATGAGGAATCTTCCAAGTTGGGTCGGCTACTCCATTACCAGGTCTAACTAGAGACTGGTAATGCAGAGGTATATTTTAACAACATCATCACCACCATCATTCTGGACAGCGACTGAAATCCTGCTGCCTGAGTCATTAAAAGGGAAGCAGACAAACTCTGGAGGTATTAGGTCACAGTACCCATCAGGTGTTTGAAATTTTTCGTTTCTGCCATCCCATACCTTGCTCATACAATCAGAGATGCCTATTAAGCTTTAATTGGTGCTTTCTTGCTACTCTTTCTTCTTTCATAATGGCTCTAAGTAAAGCCTGTAAATCAGCCACAAGCAGAGCTTAAGAACTTTTCATTTTCACCATGCTCAAGAAAGACTAAAGAAATATTAGTAACTGTGGTTCTTTTGTGGCAGAAGCACTATAAATGTACCTGACAGCTGCCTATTACCACATTTAAGTACTCCTAGAGTGTTTAAAAGGCTGCTGTCAAAATATTTTTCAAAATATTATTATCCATTATTTATATTCTAAACAGAATTTGTTTGTAGACAAAAATCTGCTCTTCAAGAGGCAGGCAGTAGCTTTGTTATCAGAGAATTTCTTCTGAAACACTGTTCTTTAAAAGTAAAACAAACACAAGCCAATAACACAACTGATGTGAGACTTGCCTCAGAATCACTCAACTTCATACAATGAGAAAAATAAACCTTTGAATCTTTTTTTCTTTCTCTTTTTAATTTAGCACTACTTAAGTTCTTTATCTCCCCAGATGTATGAGGGAGCAGGCTGAAAAAGATAGTGAGAGTTTGAACAAAGGTAGCATGCTAAAATGGAACCAATAACGCAGTTTAATTACAGTACTAATACAAAGCCAATAGCCTGTATGTACTTTCTGTATGAAACATTACAGATAAAGTTTTGACCTCCAAATGAATGTTCGTAATGTCTCCCACTGATTTCAAGACAACCAGGTTTAACTCTAATGGTCTTCTGGCCTTAGGAGTTTCAGTGCATCTTTTTGACTATAATTCTGAAAAGAATTCTCCCTCTTACGCAGTTTCTCATCTACTGCTCTTTTCCCTACTGATGACTTTGTATCTTAGCAAAACATTTTGCAAACACAAGAACATCCCAGGGTGACCTCTGACAGCAAGCCTTTGTCACTCATCATCCACAGAAATAAGTGGCTTTTCCCAAGGCTGCGGGGGAACAACTGCCGGCCCTATGGACCCCAATTCCCAGCCCAATGCCCTGGAAGTTTTGCAGACTGCAGGAGTAGAACAAGTTACAACTGCTTTAACCCATCCACAAAAACATTTCTATGGTCTGAAAGATTCTGCAGAAAGGGAGGTCCATGGCTAACGCCCCATTTTTGCCAGCTCCAAAGAGAATTTTGCCATTTAAGACACCGTGAGAAGAGTGTGAAACTACTGTATGTTTCAGAAAGCTTTATGGCTTCACTAGATGGGACAATAAAAGCGAGTATTGGGTCCATTAAATAGACACGAACACCTGCTGCCATACTAAAGGGCAAAAAGCCACCTTTACCCATTCCCAGAGGCAGTTCAGTCACTAAAAAACATCAAATCCAGTGCATACCAGCACAGCTTTAGTCCTGCCCGTAACAAAACTCTTCCATGAGTGAAATCCTCATCACACATGTGCAGCCCCAAGACAGCTAAGGAAGTAACAAGTGACTAATTTGCTTTGCCACATCTGACTGCAGAATGACGTAGTATGGGTCACAAACATTGCCCAGAGTATATGCCACTGTGCAAGATTCAACATCATCTTTGGAGCCATACGGATCCAAGGAGCTGTCAGTGGTTTTACGGTAGCTGTAGTTTTGTTTTAAACTGTGCTATTTTTGTCATTATTTCACACTACCAATTAACGTAGTGGGAGAAAGGGAAATGATACACTGCTTCTCTCACAGTTATATCGGTGATGGTGAAGAATGCTTTCATGGTGTATCCATGGACAGGTTCAGGCTGAGCACTCTTTCATAACAGAAAATGCAAGCAGACTTTTAAGACAAAATATGCAATCATGATCTTAAATTCACCTGATTTAAGTTAAAATTTTAAAAAATACTTATATCAGAACTATTTTTGTTCTACCCACTGCATTTAAAAAACAACCAAACACACTCCTGCCACAATAAACACTTCACATACAGATTTAAATCCAGGAATTGATTTTCATGAAAAGCAATAAATCCTTATGAACAGGTTTCTTAACAGAATTAGTCAGGATCTTTTTAGCAGTTTGATCCAGCATAACTAAAATAAATAAGCACATATACTATACATGTCAGGCATATTGCATTCTCTAAAATATGAGCAAGCGTGATTTCCAAAGCAAATCCTTTTTAAGTGATCAGTATATATCGAGCATACCTTATGTACCTTGGTTAAGCTGTTCTTCCACTTGCTGGAGTAGACCAATACATCAGCTCTGGGATGAGTGGTTCTTGCTTGAGTGTACAGCGGTTTTTCAACTTTTTGTTTTGAATTGAGGAGGGAAAGAGCTACCTTTGTTGACAAACCAAGTGGATTGGGGTTGCTGGGACTAATGGCCCATGTAGAGTAGGCTGAGATTTTCTGATCATTTTGCAGCAGATGCAATGGTTTTCTCTTCAAGAGATAGCACCAGGTAAAACTCGTTGTGGTCTTGAGGCTTGGAAACGACAACCTCTGCAGTTCTCCTGCATTCATCACAGCCAGCATAGTTACAGGCTTTGCTTGGCCATGGCTATTGATGTGCTTGCTCTCATTACTGTTACTTGGGGACTTTCTTTCTTGACTGCTACTTACAGCCTTGAGAAGAGAACTCTGATTACTCACTGGAGACAATTCAGATGGTTTTCTAACTACAAACACAGGCGATGCTGAACACCTAACGTCTTCAGATTCTGGTGACTCCTTCAGAGTTTCTGAAACACCAGTGTCAGATGAGTCATGGTCAGGCAACAGTAGGTCAGAAGGACTAGCTTTGCTGCTTTTTTCATGCTGTGCAACACCATCAGCATCCAAGAGATGATTTTCAAGAGGCTCTGTGGTGCATACCTGTCTTACCAAAACTGGTTTCTTTTGCTTACCAGTAGGGTCACTAGATCTAATGTTCAGCGACTGCAATGGTCTAGCTTCTGTCATGCAGGCAGCTCCACTTTCATCTTTCACACGTTTTTGATGGTTTTCCATGGCAATATCTAAACTGTTGGCTGGGGAAAGCATTCGTTTACTTGAAGCTGTAGCTTCTGGTTGAGGGAAGAGTCCGCTAACTGGCACTTTCTGAATAATATTCAAAGAGCTTGACAAAGATGAATTTCTGGTTCCACTTCCTGCTTGTGAATTTTCAAATTCAAATGAATTTGGCAATGTCTTCTGATTATCTTTGTGAGATTTTGGCAGCTGAGCTTTGCCTTCAAGCATTGGCACTGTCACAACATTTGTTTTGCAAACAGATTGATTTACCTGATCCTGGGTCACTAAAATGTGAGGAAGGGGGGTGACAGTTGCAAAGCCATAGGATGGCATACTGCTATGAATACGGACGGGAACCACAAAAGGAGGAATCTGATGCATTTGACTGCTGCAGTTATTTGGGACAATTTGCTTTAGAGGAGGCACAGAATATGGAGTAGACATGTCAGGCAGTTTAGTCTGCAATTCAAAGGAGGATACATTCTGGTCCACCCCAACTTGACTTGGAACAGTCTGAGTCGATAAAGTATTTTTTAGCAATTTAGAAGAGTATGGCTGACCTATATGCAATGTTTTAACTTGTAGCTGATACTTCGGAGCAAAACAATCTTTTTTTTCATTGGGGTGACAAGAAAGCATGTATGTGCTCATCTGTTCCTCTTGGGCTGATGTTTTAGTTGAGGGCTGGGAAGGCTGATGTGTTGAGGATGGTTGTCCTTGCTTGTTCAGCACATGATCTACAGGCTGCTGAACTGAAGACAGGCTCACAGGATTACAATTCTGAATTGCTGAGGGAAGCCTGGAGTGAGTCTGTGAATGCTGAGTACTTGAAGGAAACTCCACAGAAGATTTCCCAGAGGTCTGCAGCCTGTGCAATGGCACTGTGGGTATATCCGTAGCATGAGCTGTCTGAAATGAAGTTGATTTACCTTGTATCTGATGATTTTCTGGAGAAATATTTAAAGATATCTGCCTTACAAATGGCCCCCTCCTCCTTTCTAGCAGAGGCACATGTCCAGTAACTCCATTTGCAGATGATGGTTTCGGAGTGGCTATCTCTACGAGCGAGGCAGGTTTTGATGAAGACATGCTTCCACAGTCAAAAGACTTACTCCTGTGGTCTACAACCTCCATCGATGGCTGTGTACAGCTGATCTGCTCTGAGGCAGCACGTCTCATTTCCCGGTAAGGAGGTCCAGGCACAACCAGTGCATGTGAGCCAGCAGGAATCATGAGGAATTCTGACGACTTGCTAACAAGCTCTGCTTGGGAAAGGTTCTCTGACTTCAAAGTTTCATCTTTGTCAAGTGAAGCTGAGAAACTGGAGGCATGAGACAAGCTACTTTCCCGACTTAAACTTCTGGAAAGTGTGGAGTCAATGCTTGATTCGGCAGATGAATGCTCCATTTCAGCCAAGCGAATTCTTTTCTTCTTTGGTGGCAGCTTTTCTGTTGGCAATTTTGATAGCGTTTCACTGCGCTGTGGCCAATTAAACCTTTCTGTCTTTTCTGGATCGCTGCATTGGTTATCTTGGTCCCTGTCCGGTTCTTCTGTGACCAGTATTTCAGGAACCTGGATGTTATGCTGGCGAACAAGTCTTGAGGGCTGAAGCGGTGCACTTCTCTCACTAGAAACTATTTGGCTCCCTTGAACTTCCCCTCTAGGTGCTTCTGATGATAGGGGTTGATGATGCTGGGGAGTATTCAGAGGAGGGTGTCTATCTTCTTGGATTACAATTGTACTCAAAGAACGGTGCTTTGCAACATTGTTGGGGTCTTGAGAAGAAACTGGTGACACTCTTTCAAACGACTCTGATTTCTCAAATGAGCTATTTCTGCTCAGTGAATTGGTGTGCTGTATTACTGAGATGCCAGTACCTTGTCTTTTCAACTCCACCTTTTCTTGCACAGCCGAACTCACCTGCTTTTCAGTGTGTGGAGACATCTTTGGCTTGGTTGTCTGATCTGTGCCTCGACCCACAAGCTGAATTTGGGAACTCTGAAGTAGAAGGCTGCTTCGCTGTTGGGACCCTACCACTGTTGTTGCACTGTGTTTTGACAGATTAAAAGAATTTGCTGGCTTGCCTTGGCCTTCTGTATTCTTTGATAGTATACTCGTATCATTTTGCTGTGGGTCATCATCATCACCAACACTTTTCATTTTCCTTCTTTTCCTTATCTGGGGTGTCTGCTCCCAGACACCAGTTGAAGTAGTGACTCTGTAGTGTAGAATTTGAGGCTGTGTGCTGTTTGGAACAGTTTTATGCTCAGGTTCTCGGACTGCTGCTTTAGTTTTAGGTCCATGCAACTCCGAGCAATAAAATTTCTTGTGGTTTTCAAAGTTTTCCAGTTTTCTGTACCTGTTTCTGCAGGTTTCACACTCAAACATTGTTCCTCGCACCTGAGGGGACTTCTTTGTTTTTTCCAAATTTGATCCCTGCGCAAGGGACTTGCTCCTTTGCAATAATGATTCATTACATCCCAGATAACTGTCTTCTACAGATCGCACTGGTCCGAGAACTTGGCTTTCACCAGTTGAAGAATCTTCTATTGCTGCCTGTCTAACAAGGGTCCGAGGATGTCCACCTTGGTTCAGTGGAGTAGCAGGTCCCGATACAAAAACATCATCATATAAAGAGCCAATTTTATCATCAAATGACTGACTACCTCGAAGGGGATGAGAGGGAGGTATTACATGTGGAGGTACTGCTGAGTAACTGGTAGTAGGCATGGAATTACTTCGTGTTATAGGTAAACAGTCAAGGGATGGTACAGAAAGAAGAAAAACTTGCTTTGATTTCTCAGTGGGTGTGAAAGGAGACTTTGGTATATCAGAGCTTGAGCTAGTTCTTCTTCCCATGGGTTTTAAATCAAACTGGAAAGAATCCTTAAATATGTAGGATTTTGGTGAATCTATGCTTCCTCTTCTCGAAAGAGATGTTCTTCTTGGTTTCACGCTATCTAGCTGTTTGTCATCCACAACAGCTTCATTATCAGAAATCAACTTTGAGATACGTTCCTCAAGAGTTTTTGTTGCCATGGGAGGTCGCATTTGGCCAGAGAGAATCAGATTCTTTTCAGCACAAACCGTTTGTACCACTGATGCTACCACACCACTTGCTCGTGGCACACAGGGCACATTTTTGTTTGGATCTTTCTCAGAGGTCAACAATCCTCTCACAAAAGGAGCTGGTGGGCTCATTGTTTGATCAGCACTTTCAGAACGAGAGAAATAACCAGAATCAGTACTACCTAAACTTCTAGGGCTCAAAAGGCATTTTCCTTGCTGATCTTGGGAACCATCGGTTGCCTGCTGTCTCTGGAGCTGAGCATGCACCATTCCTACTGCAGATCCCACCTGTTCCTCTAGTAGGCCCATTTCTGCTTTCTGCTGTTGCTTTACGTCATTCTCCTTCAATGAGGCTGTATGTGTTAAGTTTGACTGAACAGCTGTCACTTTAAAATCTCCTTTTCTCTGTGCTGCAGAAAGTTCGGGTGCTGGTTCTGTTACTTTTGGACTATCAGCCCTTAACGGAGAAACATTCACAGGATGAACTACTACTTTTGGTAATGCTGCCCTTACTTGAGGTTCTGTATCATGTAATGAAGAGTCACCTGGTATACAGTCTGGATTGCTTAACGGAATAGGGCTTCCTTTCCTCAGTGGTTCTGCACTCGAAATGACTTTCACTATTTGTGCAGGTTCCAATTCTTGATCATCTTGTCTTTCATCAGCAGTGCCTTCATCCTCACTTTCACCACTTTCTTCCACATCTGAGTGGATGCTAAGTGCTTTTTCCGAGTCATGAGATAAGAAGAGGCCAGCTGAATCTGGTTGTAGCACAAGTCCAAGTTTGATAGCATGTGCATGAGATTTTTTGTGCTTGTACAGATTGCTTTTGGTTTTAAATGAAAACCCACATGTCACACAAGGATACGGTCGCTCTCCAGTATGGGATCGGATGTGCTTTTGGAGAACACTGGGCTTGGCACAGGCCCGATTGCAATACTCACACACATATTTCCCTAGCTTTTTAGGCTTCTGGTCTTTCAAGAGGTTACATATTTGTTCTACACCATGGTTTACAACTGACGCTATCTGGGATGAATTATACACGGGACCTATAGGCAAGTGTGTTGAACTTGATGTGCTAATTGACAAAGGTGTAGATGAAGTAGCTACTAGCTGGTTTTGAGAAAAAACCTGAGTTACAGTGGAAGATGAGGTGTGGACAACAGATGAAGTTACTGCTATGCTGTATATCTGCTGGAGCTTGGGGTTTTCTTGATTCTGCTGTTGCACCAGCGATCTAGTGAAACTTGGACACATAACAACCTGGTGATTTTGTTGACTGGTCTTAGTAATCAGGTCTTGTGAATGAGAAACTGACTGGCTTTGTGCTTGTCCAGTCTTTGCTGTTGCTGCTACATGCACATTGTTTAACGTAGACGGGTAATAGTGAGGTCCAGCTGCAAACTCATGCTGTGACAAAGAAGACTGATTTTGGACGCTTATTATATTGGACGTGAGATTAGAAGAGGTGCTTACAGTTTTATTTGGTCTCAGTTTCTCTATCTGCATCCCATAAGGGGGGCACTCTTGTGCTAAGGTGTTCAGTTCAGGCTCCATAGCTTTCAATAAGACATCGAATGCAGTACGAGTACATGGGGATGATGTACTGCAATCAACAAAGTTAATACATTCATTACTGTCAGTCTTTGTTTTACTTGATGAGGAGTTTGAGAGAGACTTCTTTTCCGGTGAGTTCAGTTGGTTTGCATCAGTATTCTCTACTGCCTGCTTACCCAAATCTAAGGACTGATGTGCCAACGAGAGTTTTGTCTGCACTGATGTCTCAGATTTGGTTGTTTCAACACTTATGTCACTGCTAAGAGCTCCCCCGCTTTGTTTGGTACACTGATTTCCATTTTGCACGGGTGGGTGATCCTGTGCTGCGGTGTGTTCAGAGGCATCTGGAAGAGCTTTTAGTGGTGAAGGGTCTACACTTTGCTTAACCTTGGCTTCAGCAGGGCTCCTCAAAGGCGATTTTGGTATTTTTTTTAGATGGTTTTCAGTCACAATCTTTTTTCTTTTCACACCTTTAATTGCATCTTGGGTGCCTCTAGTACCAGCATCTGTGATTTCTGTTAAAACACAAAGAGAAAAAAGAAAATGCAAATCGAATAATGGAGTATATTTCTATTTATACCATTTTATCATCTCTAAGTTTCAACAGTAAGCCCTGGAGCAACAGGACTGTCCATCTCTCCTGCCTCCAATACCTTTTTTTAATAGTAAAGGTATCTTAGTGAAGATCTATTTTGCTTTCATCTAAAAAGAACAATACTTTCAAAGTGATACTGTAAGGGATTACAAAAGTAATTCACAAGAGGAAAAGCTTCAAAGGAAATGCAAGAAAAGAAAGGCTACTGAATGAATATTTTAGCATTTAGAGCAACTTCTTTTCAGATAAAGTGAAGAAGAAACCTCTGTCTTGCAGTTGTTTAAAAATTCAAATCAGGAAAATGAAAAACCAAGACACAAATCTGTTTTCATGCTGTATTTGTCACTTTTTCCATCTATATGTTCCCGCACTCAAGGAATGAAGACAACTTCCTCATGGTTATATTTGTAAGTAGATTTATCATGGAAATGGCACAACCACCCACACCATCTGTCAAATACTGTATTTCAGAGCTCCAATTACTGAACTTCAATAGCATTTCAGATGAGCAACTATGGTGGATGAATAAAATCAGTCACACCTAAATGATTTTGTATTTGTGCATCATGAAATAAAATAAACTAAATCTGAATTATTTCATTACTAGCTACACTTGCTGCTGATTTTAGGCAGGTATGCATGCAGAGTTTCAGGGCTGCAGTGAAGAACACATGAATTGGGGTATTATTTAGCAGAATAATCCTGTAGCACATACTTATATTCGTACAGAATACAATTTTCTCTATAACAAAAAAAATACATACAGACTGAATTTCAGTGTTGATACTTACAAGCTTGTTTTTCAATGGATACCTGATGTTACACACCTTTGTTTATCTCAACAGAATTAGACTTAATCTGGTTGGTTTATTTATTTATTTATTTGTTACTTCTTTCTTAACACTCAGTTATAGGTACTGCCTCAGCTAGCATCACCGGTACTGCAGAAGAAGCCAAATATTAAATGGACGTAAATCCATTTTCTTAAGCTTTTACAACTAGTTTATTAGGCTGTTAGTCAAACCCATATTTGTCTGGTTGCCAGTATTCTAAGCAAAGGAAGAAATTAATGTGACTAGAGGGCTGATGTCTCTGAAAAGGTTCAGCTGCACACACATTTTGGGAAGCAGTAATGAGTAACTCCATGTGGTATGTTTACCTAGCACAGAGTTACTCAGCAACAGAGGTGTATGTGCACTTCTAGGTAAAGAACAGCCCCAAGACAACACATAAAGGGACAAAGTTCTCACAGTGAATTTCACTAGAAAGAAAGTGGAGAAAGCTCAGACTTCCCAGTGCCCATCAACCCTATGGACCCCTCTGAGTGGCATGAAGACTATCCTCTTGCAGAAGCATCATCTGGCTCCTATACTATGTGGGAGGAAAGCCAACACATAGTGTGCATCTGACAAGAGATACTGGAATCCTGAGTGAAACCCTCTTATAAAGGAAACACAGGCAATGCCTAAAACTTTGGTAGCAGAAGAGAATGCAAAAGTGACCAAAAGGAAAGATGTTTTCTCCATGTCAGAGCATAACCCAGGTGGGATTGAGCTATATGCTAATGCCAGACAGTTGGAAGTTCAAAATCCCATTTCCAACTCAGCGCCAACTTAATTGTATACATATATTCATCAAGGATGAATGGATATTCAGGAGATTTCCTTGCAAACTGAAAGATTAAAGACTACACATCACACACACTGTACTGCAAATGTGCAAGTTCTGCAGAACCTGATCTATTCCTCTCTCAGCCCTACTAGAGGAAGTTTAACTATAAAGAGTAAGAGCCTGTTTTGACACATTCAGCAGTCCCACGAAAGAGATGCTTGAATCCCTTGCCAGAACTACTGGCTACAAAACCTAGTTATGGGGATTTTGTGCTCCTCTTGTGCATCCAGAAAGAAATTTCTGCAGTAATCACTCACTTAACCTTTAAATGAACTTTGTATTTATTGCTTTATCACCAAAACCTATTCATACTAGACTGGATTTAACATATTCAAAGCCCAGCAGTCTTACATCACGATGTTCTGTCCTTTCTGTTGATTCGCAATTAAATGAGTGGCCTACACTAATAAGTTGTGATCAATATCATTAATGGCGATTTCTTTAAAATTTCAGTCTACTGCAACTGCTTTTTTCTTCAGTAACAAAAAACTATTTTACAAAATCAAAGAGAAAAAAACAAGGTAACTATATAAAAGAGTGCTTTTAGCCAAGGTTTGGTGATCCCTCTGAAGCACGGTCACGTTAATTGAGCATAAGTAATTTGGTTCCTTTTAAGCACACACTGCAGCTTTTATCCCATCACAATCACGCCTCCACACCGATCACACTGCCAGTGTTTGTACCAGAGTGCTATAGGAATTGCTGAACAGATTATGCACAGCTAGGAAGGTAAGAGTGCCAGGAATTGCGAACATCAATGCAGACAAACATATACAAAAAAGACTAGGGAGTTTCATATTGCAGCAGTTGAACAGTCAAATGATACACTGCTTCCTGATGCCTCAGAATACTGAATAATTACTATTCCTGGGTTTCAATCATATAATGCAGAGGAACAAACACACTCAAACTGCACCATACTAGTGAACTGGAAACAGACACAGCTGAAAGATGCAACGTGGCTTACAAAAGCCTTAAATAAAGTAAGAATATATCTCTAATCTACCAATCAAGCAATTAAAACCATGAATGTTATGAATATAAGATCAGAATTTTCCATAATCTATTTACTGCTTTACTTTAAAAAATGCGGTTCAACACATGGTAAACCATAAAAATTGCTTAGGGAATTGAAAGGAAAGAAAAAAGAATAAAGAAAGGCACGTTATGCATTGCATTAAATAAAGAAATAGATTTTTCTTTAGTCTTTGCAAGCACTAGTTGTGCTGCTTCTGTAGTTCTATACCAATAAAATTCCAGTCTATAGAAATCATAAGAACTAGTTTCTTATTTGTATTTCTGACTTTAAACCCTTGGTGATCCCAGAGATGGGAGTTGCAAATTTGCTTCACATACGTATCTACAAAATGTGGTAAAATGTACTTTATTGACAATGGCTTTAAAAGGCTTAATAATAGTTTAAGTCCTGTGCTCTACTTCACTCCTGGATAATTTAGAAATCATTATTATTAATGGAAATATTCACCTCATGTTTGCTAAAAGCCACATTTCTAGCATATTTGGGGAAAAAAGCAATCTCTGACAACTCAACTTGGTTTTAGCTTCTTGTTCTTTCTGTGTGAGTCTTTTCTTTGTATTCCCAGTTTATGCTGAAGATATTCCACCACACGTTTGTTAATCTACAGCTATGTGCTTCCCCAAAGATCAACTGCATCAATATTTCCAGAGGCAACAACAAATCTGGTGGAAAGCAGCAGCCCCATAGTGCTAAACACTCCTCCACCTTTCAAAGCTACAAACTTTCAGGAGCTTAATAACTCCCCAGGGCCATTTACCCACATCAACAAGCTGACAGTGAACAAAGAGAAGGTAGAAACATCATATGTGTGTGTGAGAAGCAAAAATGAAACCGATCCACTTTTCTTTCTCTCTCCTGTGCTCTGCTCACCTTCTTCCGCAAACACAAAGCCCTTCTTATCCTTCAGCAGTAATTCCCTTTTTTCTCAGGTGGTGAAGTGGTGCTGCTGAGAAGTGCTGTCACCTCAATCAGACGTCTAAAAAATATCTTTTTCATAAGCTGTATTATATCAAATAGGATTAAGTTACCCAGCCCAAGAGAGAAGGTAACAACATCATTGTGGTCAGCGCCCCACTTTTCATATCCCAGGGACACCAGAGCATTTCTTTCGTGCTTTGCCTGGTTGGCTTTGTTCTGCTTTGCTATCAAGATTCTCTGTTTAATACTTTTGCTTCGGTATGAATTCTGCACTCAAAACATGACAAGAAAAACTGATGTTTCTAAACATGACTGTTAACCTGTAATTTCTCTGCTGCATTTTCCTCCGTGCACAGGAAATAGAGCAGAACATAAATGTGATGGTGTAGATAGCAATCTGGCAAAGTAACTCATACAGCAAATAAAGGAAAGGTATAAGCAATCTGATTTTCTTCTTCCGAAACACTTACTGGTGAACTAAACAGTGTCTTGACAAAATGATCTCAATGGTTTTGTTGAAGTAACTTCCAGAACTGCCTGTCTCAAAGCCTACATGTTATTATAACACCTACTCTCTTTCTCTCCCTTCTAACAGAGCTACATGCTTGCACTTAAGAAGAAAAGAGAAAGAGATGAAGGAACTGAAGCAAGGCACCAAGCTCCCTTCTCCCTCAGTGCTACCCTGTGAAGCACCGAGCAAGCAACCACTGCCTGCCCCTATGGTCCAATGCACCATTTTCATCTCATGCACTCACTTCATGTTGCCGAATTTTAAAAATCACTGTAGACTGTACAAATACCAGATTATCCACTTCAAGTGCCTGAAGTTTAGCTTCTAAAACTGTACTTTTGCTCCCACGGCACTGCAAGTAAGAGCAACCTCTTTTGAAAATGTTTAAATACTAATTGATGTCTTACACATACAGCTAAAATGTTAGTCTGACCACAAACAACGGTAGCAATCCAAAGATGGGCTTTCAGAAGAGATCATTACTAAGGATCTGATGCTGATTAAAGCTAAGCCTCGCAGTGTCCTTAGATATTCAAAATACTCTTATTCTTGATGTATGATACTTATTTAATTTTGATTTCACCAAAACTATCGAAAGCACTCATGAATCACTGCACTGGGTCTATTTCTGTGAATAACAAACATCATTATGAGAGCAAAAATAAGTCTGGCTAGCAAACGCTAGGCCACCAGAACTTACATTAAACACAGCAGGGAATAACTAAATTTTAATTTTTTATTAAATGGCCTTCCTGGCTTCATATTGCTTCCTAAATGTTAA